CAAACTCTGAATCAACCCCAAACCCCGAACCAGCCCTAAAAAAGGAACCAATCCCCAAATCCTCCCTCATCCTTCTCCCTCTCCCAAAATCCCCAAACCTGACTCATCGGGGCCGCGTTTTAGGACACCGCAGAAATTCCAAACAGGAAGCGAAGCCTAACAACTCCGAGGGAAAAATTTGGGGAGGTCAAAAGGAGGCTAAATTAGAGCAGGTTGGGTTAATGGCCCCATTCAGGCCCTTAATGAGGTGTTTTAATTAAGGTCGGGGTTCCTAAAGTTCATCCCTGGGTACAAACACAGGGCTCTGCTGCCTCTCCTGGGGTTTTTTTGGGGTTCTGAGGCAGCGCCGGGCAGGTTTTGGGGGTGGAAGCACCCCCAGGTGTGACCAGGAGGAGGTTTTTGGTTGCTGAGAAGGGTTTTATGGGGTTTTTTTTGGGATTTGTTGGGGTTGGGGATTATTCGGCTCAGTGTTGGTCTCACTGCTCGTCCCTGGTCTCGGAGGTTTTGGGACAGAGCGGTGACACCCGCAGGTCCCCAAATCCCCCCCAAAAATCCCTCCAAAAAATCCCTCCCCAAAAAACCCCTCCAAACCCACCCCAAAAATCCCATAAAAATCATAATCTCATAACCGCCCCCTCCAAATCCCACAAAAATCCCTCTAAATCCCCCAAAATAACCCCAAATCCCCCAAAATAACCCCAAATCCCCCAAAATAACCCCAAATCCGCCAAAATAACCCCAAATCCCCGCAGGCGGGTGTGGCTGTGGGAAGGGAGTTCAGGGAAGCGAGGACCCTCAGCTCCAGCAGCACCGTGGCCACCGGGAGCTGTCCCTGTCCCTGTCCCCTCCCTGTGTCCCTGTCCCCTCCCTGCGGCCACCAGGAGCTGGCCCTGTCCCCTCCCTGCGGCCACCAGGAGCTGGCCCTGTCCCTGTCTTCTCTCTGTGGCCACCAGGAGCTGTCCCTGTCCCCTGCCCGTGGCCACCAGGACCTGTCCCTTCCCTGTGTCCCTGTCCCCTCCCTGAGACCACCAGGACCTGTCCCTGTCCCCTGCCCGGGGCCACCAGGGGCTGTCCCTGTCCCCTCTCTGAGACCACCAGGACCTGTCCCCTGCCCGTGGCCACCAGGATCTGTCCCTGTCCCTGTGTCCCTTTCCCCACCCTGTGGTCACCGTCACCAGGACCTGGCCCTGGCCCTGTCCCCTCTCTGTGGCCACCAGGAGCTGCCCCTATCCCTATCCCTGTCCTTGTCCCTGTCCCTGTCCCCTGCCCGTGGCCACCGGGAGCTGGCGGGAGGGGACCGGGGGACACCGGCTCCAGTTCCAGCGGGTCCCGCGGGAGCAGCTCCCGGTGCTCCCGGAGCGGAGCTGTCCCCACTGTCCCCGCTGTCCCCGCTGTCCCCTCTGTCCCCGCTGTCCCCTCTGTCCCCTCTGTCCCTTCTGTCCCCGCTGTCCCCGCTGTCCCCTCTGTCCCCGCTGTCCCCGCTGTCCCCTCTGTCCCCGCTGTCCCTTCTGTCCCTTCTGTCCCCGCTGTCCCCGCTGTCCCCGCTGTCCCTGCTGTCCCCGCTGTCCCCAGAGTGCCACCTGCTGAGGGGACACGCGCTCGCATTCCCAGTCCCGGGCCGACTTCCCTGAGCCCGGAATCTGCCCATGGGCGGCTGTGAGCTTTCCCGGGATTTCTGTTTTCCCAGGAATTCTGTTTTCCCGGGATTTCAGATTCCCCTGGATTTCAGTTTCCCGGGATTTCTGTTTTCCCGGGATTTCAGTTTCCCGGGATTTCAGATTCCCCTGGATTTCAGTTTCCCGGGAATTCTGTTTTCCCGGGATTTCAGATTCCCGGGATTTCAGTTTCCCGGGATTTCAGTTTCCCGGGATTTCAGATTCCCGGTGTTTCAGTTCCCCGGTGTTTCAGTTTTCCGGGAATTCTGTTTCCAGATTGAAATCCCGGCACTGCGCCGTTCACTGGGACCTCTCTCCCAGAAATATTCCCAAATTTTGGCCCTGCCGGTCCCTCTCCAGGGGCTCTCCCACAGCAGATCCCGGGGCACCTTCCCAAAATCCGGGGTGTCGGATTGAAGGGTTTGGCACCCCGAAGGTGGCGGCGCCACCGCAGCCACCCCAGAGCCGGGAACTGCTGGGATTCATGAATTAATTAATCCCAGGAATCCAATTAGGAGATTTGCCTCCGAGATAAGAGATCCCAAAGCCGCCCGAGGCTCCTCGTGGGAGGCGGCAGCGCTCCAACCTCCCGCCCCACGGGGCAGAGCAGCTTCCCGAGGCGGCTGGGAGTGGAGATAATCCCATCCCGGCTCTCCTTCCTCGCCTCTGGGAACCCCAAACGTCCTTTGGGAAATCATTTGGGGCGGATTTGTGGCCAGGGTTGGGTCCCAAAGCCGGGAGAGCGGCTGGGAGGGGGGGAAAGGACAGCCCAAAACACGGCCCTGGCTGCCGAGTGTCACCAGGGCCGGGGGGACAGCGGTGCCTGGGCTCTGCGGGGCCGGCGACAGCGCGGGGACAGCACCGGGACAGAGCGGGGACAGAGCGGGGACAGCGCGGAGACAGAGCGGGGACAGCGCGGGGACAGAGCGGGGACAGAGCGGGG